GCCGGTTCTTTTTGGGGACCGGGACGATGCAGGATGTCTTCCATAGGGCGGGCACTCTCCCCAGTCGCAGACTGAGGTTGAAGACTCGTTGTAGCGGCTCCCCAAGTTCAGCAGCACACGCCTTTAGCATCCTAGGACACACCTTGTCTGGGCCTGCTGCCTTTCTGGGGCGAAGCTTCCTCAGTTGTCTCCTGACCTGATCCACTGTGACACTGGGAGATGTTTGGGAGGAGGGGAGGGGGGGAGATGTCTTGCTGCTGAGAGAGGGATTGGAGGAGCGGGGTGTCATGGTGTCAGGATTTAAACCTGAATGTACTTTTGACTTCATGTGAACAATAAATTCAAACATGTAGACCCAATTTTTGTTTTTTCAAGACAATAAAAACGTGTGCTATACAACCATTCCACCCGCAAAAGTGTACAGAGGCAAAAATACAGAAAAGTACCCTCTTTGTTTTTAGCTCTGTTTTGGTCTCCACCAACTAAATATTTGGAAATATTTGGCTCTTTAGCTGCTAAATATTTTCTGATTTAAGTCGTGTTCATTTTTCCAACAATTATTGATCACTTTTTGATGCAAAATTCCTTCGACATGTTTGAAAGCTTTCTTTGAATCCTCCCTGCTTTTCATTTGATGATGAAATGAAGGAAGTCTTTTCTAACTTTTGTTTACACTTTGGATAATCTGAAGTTTACCCTGTGGATTTTATGTCAAGTCAGATTCAGGTAGCCTCAGAGCACTGTTCCACACACATCTCCTTAAACTGCTAGTAACACATCCTTCTCACTAAACACTTGCACAATACCAATGTGCCCTTTCACCTATCCAGTAACAAGCTTGCTTTTCCAATTTGTCGCATGCTGTGAGGAGAACCTAGCTTCATGTGTGTGTGTGTTTGTGTGCTGTAAAGGGTCATTCTTTTTCCATGTGCTGCAGTAAACGGGTCATTGCGTCTCCTGGGTGAGCTGGGCTAAAGTCTTGCTGCTCACTGACCTGATGCTGCATGTCTGCACAGAACTGCGGGTGATGCATTGACCTCAGATAGCGCCTTGACTAGAGGAGAGGAAATGAAGGTCTGCCCTGAGCTCTGATAACACTGAGCTGCATTAAAGTTCAGGTCTAGGATTTCAAATTCCTTACTTTTCAGTATTTGTCCTTGGAGGGGGGGTGGTGGGTGGAAGATGGATAGGCTATATGATATTAAAGCGGCATCGGCTTTTATTATTATTCTTAAACATTATTGATTCATGCACCACATAAATGGCAGTATCGCAACACATTAGAGTTAGTGTAATATGAAAAACTGACTTAAAATAACCCAGTTAAAAGCTTCTTATTAATGCTGAATTGAACAATGTAATATGAAAGGATAAATTTATGGTAGTGCATAAAAAAAGGAAAACAGAAGCATCTGTGGTCCTTTTATTACACTACACACCTCTTCACAGCACTCAGAAGTGTTGTTGATAGTGCACAGGTCAGTAAAAAGAAAGATTCCAAAAGACACAGATATTTTTTTGTGTTTTTTAAGATGCATCTCAGATGGATGCGTGAGAAATTAGAAAAAACCAATGTGCTTAGAATGAAAAACAAAGTAAAAAAAACTCCACGTGTGAATGTACTGAATAAAATATTCCTCTGTGAATGGCATGGTGTCTGCATGCATCCTTCTTTTGAAACCTGTTTTACATAGAAAACAGCTTTGCAAGAGTTTGCCAAATTATAAATGCTACATTACATATTGTCCCAACTATACTGTTACAAGCCATTCGTTATTTTTTTTTATCAAAACACACAATTTGATTTCCACCTTCCTACTTTCTCATGCAGATAACTGAAGACATTTTTTAACTAAAGTAATAACATAATTGTGACTGTAATGTAATACTGAATTTAGTAGCAATGAGTCAGATTACTTGTTGGTGACTGAATGGCTCTTTAGCAGTTAAATATTGCAATTTCTAACAACCTTGCTCGCTTTATAGAGTAATTGGTCCAAGATATCCTGAATTGAACTTCTTTCTCACATTTGACTCTTTACAAATGTGCAAGTCACTTGGTGATAAATGAATTCAAAACTACAGGGCCCTGTCTGTCAAAAATGTGCCACTTTAGTCACGTGTAACCAGATCTTTTTAAGCAAACCTGGCCCTTGCTGTGGCGAAGAGAGTACTCAAATGGACAAATTTAATTGAGCACTCCAGTTTCACTCACAGTGTGCATCAGTTCATTCAAGTCATTTGATTTGCCCTTTGTACATGCAGCTGGAAATGCATGCTGTGACATATAATAAAAGCTTTTTTTGTACAGGTAGCAGATTTGCACATTGTCTCAGTTTTGCATTACTGTCAATAGATAGACAATGACTTGATATCAAAACACAGCACTTGAGTTAGTGAGCAAGGCATTGTTTTTGGAGGTATGCACAGTAAAATAGTGACAGAACAGGGATGAGCTGAAAAACTAAACATTTTTCTTTAAACAAGGCAATTATCACATTTATATGATTTAGTAGCACATGCTTTGGGGTTTTGGCAGGAAGAATACTCAGAGGACTTCCATGCAGCAACACATTTCTATTTTGTATCTTCTGCTTCTATAAATGAGTTAATCGTGATAATTGCATCAAATAATGTTTCCTTGTCATTCTAGACAAGTTACATGATGCCTTTTTGAGCATCTTTAAAGCACACGGTGCTTTAAAGAATAATGCCATGTTGCTTCAATAAACTTATCTTATTTTTTCAGAAAAAGAGATGCATATTTAAAAGAAGAGTAATTCACACACAGTATTTTGAGTCCAGTCCCACCTGCTGCTCTTTTCACTCCTCACTGCACCAAACCTGCTGCATCTCTGAGTCTTTTGACATGTTTTATCATAACCCACACAACAGCATTGCTTGTTTTAGCTAATGAATGACTGCAATAATGATGATGGTCCAACTTTCCTGTGGTGACATGTTTTCCTCTGCTTGGTTCCGCAACGGTAGCCCATCACTTCAAACTGTGAAGCGGTCCAGCTGAACATGGTGCCAAATGTACTGCTGCGTGCCAGTTTACTCCAATATTAGAAAGTGTGACACTTGTTTCATGAGCTCTTTTCTCTCTCTCGTCATTCTGTTAATGTTAATTAAAGGCTTAAATCTTGAGTGTGACTGATGTAGATCAAGTGTATTTTTCCTTTTCCACCTTTTCTTTCCCTTTTTTTTTAAAACCACTATAGAGTTTCTGAGAGATTGAACCAATATAAATAATACTAATAATAATAATGAATGGCTATTTGGGATTTAGCAATGACTGTACCACCATGTGGCCATTTATTAACCACTTTCTAAGCTTTTTGAGTTAAGACGCCACAAAAAAAAAAAAAAAAAATCTTAAAGCACACGCATGAGCTTAAGTACTATTGCTACAGTCAGACGAGGCACCCTATTAGTTTTAAGTAAATTATATGTTGCACAGCAGTATTTGGAAGATCTGTTTCGTTTCACTTTTTCTTTCTTTATGTAGTGGCAATTCAAAACATTTCCCTCAAGGTACATTAAATGACAAAGTAAAGACCCTACAATACTAAAGAAAGCTGTACAATCAAACGATCCCCTATGAGGATCACTTGATGACAGTAGAAAGGAAAAACTCCCTTTTATCAGGAAGAGATCTCGAACAGCACCAAGAGTCACGAAGAGTCAGACATCTGCAGCCACTGGTTGGCGGGTGATGGGAAAGAGAAGTGAGCCTTGTTAATGACACACCGTTTATAAATACAGATATAATGACTATGATTATGATTATTACTAGCGGTGATGTAATAGCACTGATAGCTGTATATGGTGTAACTATGTATAGGAACAGATGGATAAAAATAACTGTATCTATAAATGCACTATTATGGATGAGTAATGATAAACAAATGATGAGTTAAGCACATATTTAAAGTGCTACCCTTTCACTCTCGTCAGTAATTGTTTCATTAACGTCTCTGTAACTGTAGCAAGATGATTAAGATTTCCTAATAAAGTGACCAGGTAGTGTATTTTACTTTTATGAAATCATATAGGGCACTTATTACTTTTTCTGTCAGTTAATTTGAGCATTTTTCCTGGAAAAACAATAAACAGCTTGTTGATAAAATGTCAGAAAAGTGCTGGGAACAGAGTTGTTTTGGTTCTGTATAATTAAGGGTGCAAAACTGAACTGTGCTCGGTTTCTGTCGTACAAAGTCGCCAATTATGGCATTAGAGTACTGTTGTTCCTTAAACAATTACCAGATTTTTTTTTAAAACAGCTGTTAATAGTTTGTCTGTCTTTAAAGTGGATATGGCAAACTTGAACATGTACAGTATATTTACCCATCATTTATGCACGTGCCTGCATCAGCCTTGTTTCCTGTGTCTGCGAACAATCCTCATGAGTAAAAAACAAAACAAAAAAAAAGACAACAAGATGAAAAACACTCATAGCCTCTTGATCAATTTGATTTTTAATGATGAAATAATGATTAAAGCAGCTTCTGATTTCAAAATTAGAGAGCTGTAAATGTGGTAGATTCTTCCTTTCTGTCAATCCAGGGTCCAAAAATCCTACCTTTGTACAGAGAAAGTCTGTGGCTTGCCCCATGGGAGGCTGTGGTAAACAAGTGGAAAATAACAGGCTCCTGTCTGGTGTTTGCCAGCCTCTAATGTCTCTGTCCAGTCATCTAGAAGAAAAACAACATGCAGCAGGTTTCTACTGTACAGGGACGGTGACAGGGACAGGAGCAGAGACAGCCAGTACTGATAGAGGATGGGGGGGAGGAAACCTCTCTCTTTGTCTGGTTTCCTTCTACGGGTCAATGCATCTCGCATGTGAATGCACACCTGACATATTTTTACTTGGCTTCTCTTTTTCTTCTCAGTTTTCTCTTCCTTCATTTGCAACAATTTTGCCTTGTTATGCTTTTTAATCTACATCCTTTAGGTGTGCATAAGATCTGCTTTCTTAATTATTCCTTCACCTGCAGGATGCATTTGAAGTGCTGGCAGAGAGCCATGAATTCAATGACATGGAGGGTCCGTGCTTGGCCTTCAGGAGGGCTGCATCTGTGCTGAAGAGTCTGCCCTGGACGGTGCAGAATTTACGGGTCACAGAAGACCTGCCCTGCCTGGGGGAACACTCTATGTGTGTCATAGAGGTAAGGCCCAGTTTCACTTAATCCACAGCAGTCCAGTTAATAGCCAATGGATTTTCCCTCTGTATTTTGGTTCTGGTGTCATGTGTCACTTAAAAATGAAATATAATGAAATGTCAAATGCCCTGAAAACTGAAACTGTTGCCCTCATTTTATCGTCTGGGTTGGATTTTCTGACAACACGTCTTTTGAATGCAACGTCGCAAAATCAAAGCTTTCAGATTAGGTGTGCAAACCATAACTCACGCAACTTCCCGGACCCTATTTATGCAGTTGTGCAATGATCTAAAATAATTTGCTGCCATGAAGATACAGTTTAGTATTTTGGAAACACGCTTGGAAGACGTCGGCGATGATTCGAAACACGCAGCATGTGATTTATGAGCTAAAGCACTCGAAACCAATGGCCATTATTAATATTTATGCTTATGTGATATGAAGTGACAGAATTAACTAACACCAGCGTAAAATATTGACACTGATTGATCCTTTGCACTAGCAAATAAGGGATCAATAAAGCCATTTGTTTAAAACACCTAATTGAGTAGCGCATGTTGGCAACGGCCTCAAATGATTTCACTTCAAATACGATACGTTTTCACAACTATTACTACTCGTATTTTTTGCTCCTCTGCAAAGGAAGGCAAGAAAAAACCCAAGAATTTACTGCAGTGAACAAGACCGTGACCAACCCTCTGCATGGCCAATAGACTGTTTACATATTGACAATATCCCCACGGACCTGTGTGTGGGGGATTGACAGTAGTTAGGCTCTAAGCCTTTGAACTGTATAACACACGTGATCACTAAGTCCTTGTGAACGTGAAGCGACATCAGCTCACTGATGATGAGGACGAAAGCGTCGGCATTTCTTTTCCCTAATTGCAAACTTTCCAGGTTGAGTAGTTTGCCATAAATTCAATACATGGACGTGTTTTGGGGTTTGACATTACATTACTGTAAAATTAATGTTTTACCAAATGTCACCTCTGTAAACACCAGGCTCTGAAATAAATCAAAATAAAATAAAGTAAGATGCAGCACATAACGGGGAGGGGGTGTAATTTCAGTGCCGATTGATGAGGACCCGTTCGATAAATCACTATCTTTATTAATGTGCTGCTGGAAATAGTTTCCAACGAATGAACTTCTCCAGCTTCATTAGATTAAAATTCACATTAAGAAAAAAAGACACACATCAAGAGATGGACAAATACAAAACCTGGCAAAAGCCACTCCTCATTACCTCCGCCGAGGAGGTTATATTTTTGGTTGCGTACGTGCGTGTCATTCTGTCTGTAAACACGATAGCTTGAAAAGTTTGGAATGAATTCAGGTCAAACGTTGTAGTGGTGTCATGTTTACAATCTATTAAATCTGGCTATGCCCACCAAGGTCTTCAAAGTCAACTTAATGGTTTAGTGGTTTGAAATGGACAAAAAGCCTTATAACTATGATTCTTGCAGTGTGCGTGTATTGTCAACATGTAGAAAGTACTATATAAATATAAAAGATTTAATATCACTATGACTTGACCTCTCCTTCAAGGTCAATAGATTGAATTGAAGGTCAAAGTGATAATATTGCTATATAGAGCTATTTAAAACTGTGATCTCCAAACCTACAGTCTGAAATGCAAAGAAAATCTAATTTGAATTCCTCCATAAGACCTGTTGCCAACAATTGCCATTCCACTGCATGTGTGATGTCACATCCCTCAGCCTTTTCAGCCTGTTTCCCTTCCTTAAGATCACCATTTCTGGTGAGGCTTCAGTGAACAGTAGCTGGATCAGCTGAAGGGCCAGTTGGATCTCACAGGTGCTGTGTCAGGTCTTTTCTGTTCATCTGCTGTAGTTTGTTTTTCAGACCTGCACCTTATCGTTTACCCTCTGCTTGTCCATTCTCCTCAGTTTTCTTTTTCTTAATGTCCACATTTCTTATTGTGGACATTAAGAAATGAGGGATGGCTCAAGACCTTTGCACAGCGCTGTGTATTATTTCAGAAGGTTTTATTCCCTTTTTGTACGTATGTAGTGAGATCAGATGATCTGGTGGGGGATTCTTTGTGAGCAAAGTATCCCGACCCACCGTCTGTCCGAACCATTTGCTTGCGAGGGGCAGCGAATCAGAAAAAAAGTTAACTTAAAGGCTGATGAAAGGAAGTTAAAATGTCTGTTGAGAGGCTGCACCAAGGCACAGCAAATGTTTAATAAGGACTGTGAATCATGCAAAGCGTCTGCGGTGGAGTTCAAGAGCAAAATATGGAGTTAAAAATGAATATAATAGGCCCACTTTAAATAAGGAGGCATTGATGTGACAGAAGTAGTTTAAACAGGCTGGCTCTATTGTATATGACGCATTCCATTACTTAGAAATAGTTTTTTTTCCTCTGTGCTAGCAAGAAGAATGTAGCTGAATCAGTAACCATCTGCACACATAAGCCTTTCTGGAGGAGATTCTCAATGCTGAGTTCAGTCTCTAAGAAATATATGAAAGAAAGACGTACAGACCTATGAATAAAAACTTTGCTGCACACACGCAGCACACGTTGATGGGTATCAGACAAATATATTTTGTCTCTGAGACAAAAAAAAAAGTCTTATTGGGTCACTACATCTCCACATCTACACTCGAGCTCAGGGCAGGAATCATGGCAGGTTGTCAGGGAAAGTGCGGATGCTCGCTCTGAGAGAACGCCAGGTCCCTGTAGGATAACAAGGTGAGCTCAGCAACCCGGCTCTCTCTGACACGTTAAACCTAACATACACGCTGCGCGACTCACAGCGCGTTTCCGAATCTGTCAAAGCTGTCAGCGCCGAGTCAGATTCATTAAACAAAATAGCATAAATGTCCCGGGGAGACCAAATTAGACTGCCTGTAAGTGACCTCTCCTTCTTGTTCTCCTTGCACAATTCAGACGCACGCCTTTCGCTGGGGTTGTCTCTTTGAACAGTTTGCTGCTCAAAACACCAAAAATGACATGACACAAAAAACAAAGTGAAACCAAACAGAGTGAAAACAAAATGCTTGATGTGCCTGTGAACATCGGAGCGACACTCTGTCAGCAGCGACTGAACTGCTCACTGCTGACTGAACATCCAAAGTGGGGAAAATATATAAACCTACTGACATGAAAGTCTGGGAGCACTGAGGCAGAGTTGGGGGATGAATAGTCAGTATATGTGTTTGCTGTATGTGTGTGTGTGTGTTTGTCTGAGAGAGGGAGAGGAGCCGTGCATGTAAAGAAGTGTGTCTTTCCCGGAGCGGGGAGTATGTTGAAGCATTATCCGTGCGTTTTGAGGTTGGCCTTAGCTGGGGGCTTGAAAAGCAGAGGTGGACGGGTGGATGCATCACTGAGCAGTGAAGGCTGCTTCAAACTGCATTGTACTCACAGTGTGGATGTTAGGTTCACTGGCTCACCGATACAGGCTGTCATCCATTCATGCACAAGCTCAAAATGCACACGGATACTTATCCCAGAGCAAAAGCATGCAGGCTCATTTCCCCCTGGCCGATATTAACCAGATAGCTGCTACCTGATTCTTCCCATAATGAAGACAGTTAAAATGTGACCAGCAAAATTGGCGGCACTCTCGCTGAGAGACGCAGGCAATTAAATGCAGAACAAAGCGGTTTTGGAGCAAACAACAGAATCTGGGGGGAAACATTACCTTGGGGATTTTTTATGATTGCCATAAAACAGGTATTAATCCCAGGTTTCGCAACAACAAAGTCGTTATTTGTCGAAAGGAAAAGAAATGGAAATAAGGACGCCTGATATAAGTGGATGGTTTCTCAAATAAGCAGCGATTTGGGGCCCATTTGTTAATAGCCGGCTGGGGGGGAACCCAGGGGAAAACACGCCGATGCTGACACAGACATTGCTTTCCTTGATGATAATATCATCCGCCTTTGTGTTTTGCAGGAGATCCTTCAACACGGCCGTTCGTTTGAAGTCGAGAAAATACTCTCGGATGAAAGGTATCAAATACTAAAGGTCAGTGGATGAATAACAACTCAGTCGATGGCTCGCTTTCTCCATTCTGGAGCTTTTAACTCGCTGTGAAAATGATGCGCTCTGTTGCTCCCTCTTAAGGACTCGGAGCTCTTGGAAACTTTGAATGCTTACCTCTTCTCAGAAGAACCTGTCATTTCAGAGCATGTCTCCTTGATTACATACTTACCTCGTTTCCTGCCAGCTGTTCACAAGTGTGTTTGGGGTTGGACCTAAGACAGCTGAGAAGTGGTACCGCAGAGGGCTGCGCTCATTCAGCGACGTTCTGGCGGAGCCCGGCATTCATCTCAACCGGATGCAACAAAGTGGTACATCAACATCTCACCATCCTCGCTCCGCCACTTTACAAATTATAGAGGAAAATTTTCAAGTCGAGCTCGCTTCCAAGAGAGACTCAAAGGCCTAATTGTTAAATCCCTGCGGGGGGTGGGGCTGCATGTCGTTTGGGACTTTATTTGTGCCTTTTTTTTGTTTACTCCCAAAGGATGTGAGCCTCTAGCGGTAATGTGTTTTCTCTAAAGTGAGATATGATCAGCAGGGAGTTTACTGTAAAAAAAAACCACAACAGGAGAGTTTTTCTTACAAAAAAACAACAACAACCTAAATCAATAAGTAGTGACTCTGAAGGGGAGGCATGGTGCAGACGTCTCACCACTCAGTCGCGCCAGAGCGGGCCATCGAATTAAGTTGGTGCTAAGATTTTTTCAACAATTTACAGCCCACGGCCACAAGAGTGGCTCTGTGAGGCTAAAAGAAAAGCAAACTGGCCAAAAGCTGAAAATTCATTTTTCATTTGTGGTAGTTATTAGTTGTTTTTGAGCCATTCTACAAAGATGCTTTTTCTGAAGGTGAGATATTTCATGCATTTATGCACAGAGGATGATTCTGAATGCGAGGACGCCCTGCTTTTGTTCGTAGCTCCAACAGCAGCTCAGATTCTTTACTTCTCCTGTGAAATACTTCATGGATTGACGCTTCGTCTTGTCTTGGTTTTCATAAAGCGCAGATGATGTGTTCTAAACAGTTTAACTTCACCTCCAGCAACTGTCGCCAGTCCGGTATTTGTGGTATACGACAGCATAAATTTTAGCATATACCCCCACCTCCCCTCAATATTTATTCTGTCCACTGGTTTGGCTCGTTTGGCTTTTGAGTGAAATTACAACCGAGAGCATGTCACACATTATTGAGATGAACAACTCTTTTATGCCACTTAAAAATCAGCAAGCACGCAGCTGGGAGACACCGCTCCATCCTGCTGCTCACTTTGCAATTTACAACAACGTTTTTTTACGGCGCGCAGATGTGTGTTGTTGTGAGGATTTGCCGTGCTCTTCACACGATGAGGCCTCTCATTTATGATGAAAAAAACAGATAAAGCATCCAGGTTTTCCATGAAGGAGATAACATACACTTATTTGACCTCTAGTACTAGTAAGAGCTGTGAAATGAGCAAATTATTAGATGCTTCTGGTATTAGCGATCACACGAGGTCCCCTGGTAATTAAATATCTTGTGAATCTCCATCGTTGTGTTAGAAAGCTAGCATTTGCTAATTAACACACAGAGCGCAGGTTTGTGTGGCCTTAGATGTTTTTCAGTTCAGGTGGAGCGCTCTTTTCTCGTGTGCTTCTACGACATGCCGTGACATGAACTCGGAGCCTCCGTGCAAATTTTCCGTGAGCCGTTGTCATTAATCTCAAATTCATTGTTTATTTTTGTCGGAGGAGTTTCTGACTACGAAACGCAGATTTGATGGATGCTTCACTCACAAGTGGGAGCTGAGGTCGGCCGAGGCTGATGAGAACGTCATTAATTTCTGCGGTCATAAACCGAAGTGCTCGGCGTAAAGTTTAAAATGATGACCTGATGAAAATCGAGGGCCCGCAACAAATATAACAATCCACAGAGATGAAACCCACAAATGTGAACCTGTTTGTGGTGCTAAAGGAAAAAGTTTGCTTAGGCTTCATGCTTAAGAAACCATAAACAGACAGAATTAAAGGTGTTTGGAGTGCCTCTCTAAAAAATATAAAAGAAACAGATGTGATCAAATGTGAAAGGAATATGTGAGTGAGAAATATGAAGAAATATACCAAGACAGAAGCAGCCAGACATGCAGATAGCATCAGCTTTCGACAGTGACATATACCCCACAGTGCTCTCACATATGAAAAACAAAATACTGATATTCAGCTTTTCATTCGTCTGCATCATTTCTCTGCTTCTTCTGCTGCTTGGAGTGTAGCTGGATGGTAATTCAAAACACTGTACTGCATCGCTCGCAGGTTTCCATTCACTTTCAAACTCCGTCCCATAATGTATTGCGCTGACAGACACCTTCATCAAACTGGTCGTAATCGATCACTTGGAACACTGCGGTGTCGACTCCGTGCGGAGAAATACCGTGTGAGTTTTTGACGTGGAAAATTTGTCTGAACCCTGAACCCTCCGTCGTGCTCGACGAGTCTTGAAAAAGAGCAGAAACACGAATAACCCCATTTAATTTACTTCATTAGAAGCAGAAATATCATTAAAGGTTTTCTAATTAATTGTTGGGGGAAGCTCCATTCTTCGGTGGGGGACAAAAAAAGAAATGGATAATGAATGCTTTTCATGTAACACAAAGACAGAGGAACATACAAATCAATGAGATACCGATTGATCCACGAATTATAATTTTTGCACCGTTTCTGCGCTCGCTGCAGTCGTTTTGTGTCTGCAGCGGTCGAACACCGGCGGCCGTCTTCTATCAGCCAGGAGAACACATCCCATTTTTACCTTACCTTTAATTCACTCTGACTCTCCAGTTCCCCGGAGCAAATGGCTATGATTGATGGCTGGCTTCCAGACTAATAACCACGTGGTCTTTTTCCCTGCAGGTTTTCTGCATTATGGAGACATCTCCAGGGCTGTCAGTAAAGCAGAGGCCCAAGCCCTGGGGAACATTATTGACGAAGCTGTCCGTGCGATCACACCGGACGCCATACTCACACTGACAGGTGGCTTTCGCAGGTACAAGACTTGTCTCCTCCTTTCAGTGTTGATATTTGAAGATGAAATACAACGGCACCTTCAGTCTTTCCTCGCCCCTCCCCATCCCCCATTATTGTTCTGTTCATATTATACACAGGGAAAGCAAAGACATTAGCAAAGCCTCAAGAGGTCTGCTTGATTCCCAGGTGGATCTTATTACTGTTATTATTATTATTATCTGATATCAGAGCATAGAAGTCACAGAGTGAGTGTCTGGGTAGAAGCGTCAGAGCCGCTGGTGTCTAATTGCATCTTGCAGTTTTCGAGAGTTCTTAGACAAAACGGATTAATTTGACATTTACCACCGCAGAATATTCCCCATCTCACGCCTTTGTTCTTGACAGTAAAACAGAACGCCAGATAGCACGGGTTACTAACGTTTTGCATTTACATTAAGATGCTAAAGTGCATTACATTTGTCAGTCTCAGAGTGCACAGTCAGTGCGCTTGTAAAGCTACCTGCTGAGTGCCACTGTTCGCTCGCAGCCGGTGCCTCCCTCCATTGGCACGTCTTTGTGGTGCTGTTTCATTTATTTATTTATTTGTTTATTTTGTTATGCGCAGTGCTTTGTGGCTCAGTAAGTGTGGAGCACTCCGCTCTGTGGTGTTGTAAAAATCCAGCCGTAACCAGTGGCGTGTGAGGTAAATAATTCAAAAGCAGTCTGGCAGTAAGGACGGGCGCTTGCCTCTCTACAGGGGTAACAGAGCTGCCGCGGCTTTGCTGATGGTCTTTAATAGTGTCTGGGCTGCAAACATCACATGTTACTGGAGTTATTCCTGCTCCCTTAAAACCTTATTAAAGTTTTCCTTTTCTGCATTTGCTGTATTCTGTTTGTCAGAGTTTGGTAGAAAATTACTATACTCTAACTTTTATAACGGGGAAAAAAAGTCACTTTAGCTACAGGACCGGTATCGTGGCATTATCTCACATTTGTCAGGTGTAGCCAAAGGCTTTGCAAATTCAACACACTTTGTAATATACAACACCGATTTACATGCTGATCCTTACAGCATACTAGCTTGGCAGCAAATGTGCATGAAATCAGAGTACTTCACTATTTTATACTAGGAGGAAATATTTGCAGCACCAGATGCCGACTGCAACTCCAGAATGACACAATTGTCTAAACAAAGAGACAGCATGGTGCTTTTCCTGAAATCTGTTTCTTACCTCAAGCCGTTTAACCCACGTCCACTGTTCATTTTGATTTCTCTTGCTGTGAGCATTTTCTTTGCGCATTGCAAAAAAAAAGAATTGTAAATCAACAGCCAAACCCTAAAATCATTTTGTAGGCCATACGCATGTCCCTTCATGGATTTTTAGACCAGTGTTGAGACTGTAAATGAAATCTATTTTATTTGCAGTTCTTGTAGACCAAGCAGAGGTTGATACAAAGTAACCTTTAACACTCAAACTAGCAGACAAGGACGCCTTTATCAAAGAAATACCTGCTGCCTACACGAATCACACGAGTGTTTTATTAAAAATCACCTGTGAAAAATATGATATATACACTCAGTGGGCACTTTATTAGGGATGGCTTAACTTCATTTTATTAAGGAAATGGTATTATTTCTCTGCTCAAAACATACATTACATAAAAAACAAAACTATCCAAATGTACCTAGCCCTCTGATTACCCCCCCC